TTTTGCATGTTTCAATTCAAGTTTAATTTAGCTAGTAAAAAAATGGCATCATTTTAAAAAAAGTAGTCTAATTTACCTCATTTTGCAGTACTAAAAAACAAACTTAAAAGAAAATTTAAAATAATTTGTTTAATATTTGATCAAATTAAACATTTATTGTACATGCGAAACACTGGATTCTTTAGAAGCGTTGTCTTTATTGCATATTATTTCAAATAATTTTAAAATCTGACAAAAAATAAAATGCAACAAATGTAAAGATCAAAATGCACCTCTTAATGCTACATTTATAACAAGTTTTTGAGAAAAATATTGTAAATAAACTCATTGTATAGTTAAATGAATTTGCAAACAACACTCACCATCTTTAGTGTTGAGTTGACTGAAGACGTCAGGAAGGTCTTGGTGCAGAATTCGCCTAACTGTGCGATCGGAAATTCTAAGCGCAGATGCATGTTTTCGTGCGGATCGCTTAGGTGATTGCAAAACCGCCTGCCTTACTCCTGTCTCTTATACACATCTAGATGTGTATAAGAGACAGGCTATAATGCGTGCGATTTTTATATAGTAACTCCAATTCAACTTTTATTTATTAGTAATTTTATTAATCATCGCATTAATCTCTGTGTGGGTCCATTTTGCTTTTGTGTGGGGCATCCTTTTTCAATTCTATACTCAACATTCGAGTTAGTTTTTGCAATAATAGCATAAAAATATTTTTATTCTATTCATTCAAATTATCATATACATCTAAATTTAATTAAATAAAAACCTAAACTTTAACACAAACATGATGAACCATCATCACACTGCCAACTCCGTCCTGATTTATAATTGCTTTTTTTATGAGTTTCTTTCATAACTTTGTTGGTTTTTGCTCGGCTTCTGGGGCGCCGCCCGTAAAATATGCATATTTTGGCATTTGCCTCAACCTCCCGTGAACTCTACGGGGTTTTCCTCTTTATTTCGTAAAGTTTTTTTTCAATAATTAGATAAAAATGAGATAAAGGAGTGTTTATCCATAAAAAGTAGATAACTCTAGCTACTGGTATTCTTTTGTATTAGTCGTATTTTAATTATAATTATTATTTGCGTCATAATTAATATTTGCGGCATAGTCATTATTTGTGTCATAATTGTTATTTGCGTCATAATTATTATTTGCGTCGTATTTATTATTTGCGCCATAATTATTATTTGCGTCATAATTATTAATTGCATCATAATTATAATATGTGTCATAATCATTATTTACGTCATAATTATTATTTACCTTTTATAATTATTATTGCCTATTTGCCAATTACTTTGAACGCGTTTAGCTTTGGTGCCACATGAATTAAAATCTTTTTATTATCAGGACCTTTGTATTTATTATCAGGATTTATTTATTTATTATTGTATTNGAAAAAAAAAACATGGCTTTACCTCCACGCTTCACCCGCCTAGGTCAAAGATGAGTGTTGCTACCAAGAGTGAGGGCAATAAAATAAGAATAAACTAAATAAGATTAGTTTATTCTGATAGGCGAGAGAGAAAAATCCTTAGTGAAACTATGCCCTTTAGCTGGCTCACCAACAGAAAGGAACATGTTGATGCTACAGGTGCTTCAACTCTAGGTCAACTCTTCAACTCTCTAGGGCCTACTAATTAGTTAACTATAATGAATTTTCAGGAAATTCTAGCCCTCATTCAGATGCAGGCTTAGCTCCTTCGTGATCTAGAATTTGTGTTCCCTTGCGTTCCAACGTGAAAAGGAACTTACACGTAGCAAGCAGTGTTCGTTCAACTGGCTAGTCTTGAATACATTCGAAAAAAAAAATTATCCATGCAGCATTTCCGCATTTATTTAAAAGGCTCTCGATCGCTATCCTTGACTGCGCAGATTTAAAGAAATCAAGGCCTAATTTCAACTTAAATAAATTATATGAACAGCTTTCCCGCCTTGGGCAGAACAATTTAGCCCTTCTTCAATGCTGTCTATAAGGAAATGTAAGTTATCTTTCTTTATTTTGATTAAAAATTAAAATTCAGATCAGCCATTAGAATTACCCTAAAAGATTAATAAAAATTTATTCGCATTTATTATTTATTCCTTTATTTGTTATACTGAAACAAGAGGCGGAAATATTCTGAATAAATATGGAAATGCGAAGTGTTATCAGTTCCATGGCGTCTGTTGACACGAGCTCTTCAGTGCTTCCGCTCACCACCGTCCTCGATGCTGTCGTCGTCGATCTGAGGGAAAATATAATAGCATATAATAATATAAAAAAATAATAAATAATAACATCTTTAATATACGGTAGAATAACATTTATATAAGTCGTCCATCTGAGGGAAAGATATAATAGCATATAATAATATAAAAAAAAAATAAATAATAGCATCTTTAATATACGGTAGAATAACATTTATATAAGAATTAAAAGTCTAATTAATCTAATTTTATATACGGTAATCTTAATTACCGTATATTAAAGATATGATAGCATCTTTAACATACGGTAGAATAACATTTATATAAGCCGTCCATCTGAGGGAAAGATATACGTAATAGCATCTTTAATATACGGTAGAATAACATTTATATAAGAATTAAAAGTCTAATTAATCTAATTTAATATACGGTAATCTTAATTACAGTATATTAAAGTTATAATAGCATCTTTAATATACGGTAGAATAACATTTATATAAGAATTTGAGAACATAAAAATAGCCAAGGAATCATAAAATTTTAAGATACTTTACTCGCAATTGAATTAAAGAAGCGATTTTTTAGAGGTTGATTTGACACGCAAGTAAAGGCTAGGATGCGT